ATATGGTTATACAAAATGACTAACATCAGATCAGATCAGATCAATACCATGTTTATATGTTTACAATGTTATTTCCCGGTTGAAACGAAACAACGAATCGACAACCCCGCCCCTCAGGCGAAGTTATAAAAATTGGTAACACACCTTGCACAACTTGTTGCCTTCAGACTGATAACCTGAAAGGATCGCATCCTCACTTCCTAACAAAGTGATGTGTGCCGCCGCTGTATTGCCTGTGAGTCTGAGGAGGGGGGTGAAACGGCACATGAACCAGCTGCCAGACGTGACCGTGAGCGACCTCAAGAGGGTGCTGAAAATCTGCGCAAACGAAGGTAAAAATATAAATTAATTAATTAACTTAACAAATATGAAATTATCGGTACTCAGTGAGCTTACATTCAATGTTTTAATACATGTTTTGCATTTTTTCAGGTAAAAAAAAACATGTATAAAATGTAATGAAGCGCAAACATTTTAAAATATTTTTGTTTACGTTTTTCTCTAGCGCATGAAATTTACACATACAGTTACTTGGACCTGTATAATAGCAATATAACTGCTAACTGCTGCCGGCCACCTTTCAACAATAACTTCTGCTACGGTTCACTCTAAAACGTGGAAGATATAGTTTTCATAATGTCATTGTAGCTATATTTAGTCTAAAAGCTGCAAAGTAAAATCCGCTCTGACCCGTCTTATGTGTGTTCAGGATATACAAAGAATGATCAAGGAAAGTCACATGACCACGACTCTGCACCACTGTCCAAATGTGGAATCAAGTCCAGTTTAGCTGTGCAGACGGTGAGGAAGGTTCATGGCGGGTGAAGGAGTCTATCATTAATTTGAGCTTTCTTCACTTTTCACGTCTCCTTTCACTCTCAACACTAATTTAATACTACGTGGAAAAATGATTAATTCTGTGTAAATTTTTATCTTACATTTTTATCGTAACTTTATATTTGGGTATAAAAACATGAAGTGACTCTGAAGTTGCTCATTGCATTTCAAAAATTGTTGCACTTAGAAAACCAGTGACATGTTTCTAAAAAAAATTGTGTTTTTGTTCTGTTGTTATGATATGTAATCTAAGAAATGTGTTAAGCGCTGTTTAACAAAGGTACTAACTGTCACCTCTCATAACCTTAAGATGGAGAACCCGGAAGGATTAAGGCTTCGTCTCCTAGGAATGATTGAAATCATCATTATCTGTCCTGATGGTCAGAGGCATTCGATTTGGCTGCACAAGATACAGCTGGAAGCAATGATTGTGGGCTGTTTTAAAGGGGAAGTGCTGAAAAAGCTCTTCATCCTTGGTAGGTTAAAAACTGAAAACAAATACATTAAAAAAATGTATTTATCACTACTAAGTGATTCTACATTCAAAAACTTTGTTTTGTATGTACCTTAGTTTTTTTGTTTTGTTTTTTTTTTTTTATGTTACACGTACGGTCACTTAGACTTGTATAATACTGATAAAATTGCTTAGCTGCTAACTGCTACCAGTCACCTTTATTTTCAATCAAACTCTAATGCTGGGAAGATAATTTGATTATTTATAACATATGTGCAGTTATGTTTAGTCTAAAGCTGCAACTGCAAAGTAAAACCCTGCCTATCTGTGTTAAGTTTTTCTAGATTACACTTTGGAAAATATCAAATTGCACTTTAATGGCAAGCCACTGGATGACGACTCTGCATCACTGGCCGATTGTGGAATCAAAGCCGGCTCAGCTGTGCAGATGACGAGGAAAGTT